AAAGAAAGAGCGGATGGCGATAACACGAGAATCGCAAGACCAATTTTCATGTTCCGCTCTTTATCTTTGTAATGAAGAAAGAAAGGACAGACGTCTGATGACATAGAAAAAGCTTTAAATTTTAAGTTGAAAAATCTATTTATTTTGAAAAAAATTTACAATAAAAATGTATTGAAATTGAAAAAAAAAACGGAGATAATTTTTCAAAAACCGGAGACCGGAGATGATGCTCAAAAACCGGAGTCTCCGGTCTAAAACCGGAAAGGTGGCAACCCAAATTGACTCTTTGACGTTAGGAACATACCTACAACAATGAGAGCTTGTGCTACTAACAACAATGAGTGCTTTATACAACAGCTATAAAGCTCAAATTGACTCTACGTTTTACTTAGAAAACTTTTGTATGGGAAAAAGAAAAAGGCTGTTTTTAGTTTTTTTTCCGGCAATTGTTCGAATTTTTCTCGACGTAAAAACCATCCTTCAACTTCAACAAACATTTTAAAAAAAGAATTGCCCAAATTGGTCCAGGCGTTGTTGAGTTATGCGCTTACCAACACATTTTGCGATTCATTTTCATATTATAGAAGATATATATATAATATTATAGTACATACATAAAGTAAGTGCTTCACGTATTTATTATATTATACATAATATATATAATTAATATATTTTACATACATATATATGTATATATATAATATATATTAATTATTATGTAATATATAATATGTAACTCAATATTATATATAATAACTGGGGATAAGTCATGGATTTGTGGGGAGTTTATTTTATGCTTCTTCTAACATATGTTCACTCTTCAGTTCTTCACATGGCTGTTGAGCACTTTGTTGCTAGATTTTCTTATTTCTTTTTCATTTATTTCTACTTAGCCAGAAAGCTCTCAGCAGGCCACTACGAACATTGGCTTACTTTTAAAGTACGTTACATTGGTTTTGGAATTCAGTTTCATTACAGGAATGTATAAGATAAAGAATGTTATGTAAAAAGACATATCGGATGCGCTCCTATCATGGTGGATCAAAAACTGGAAGTTTTCGTTGTAAGTCTTTAGTGTATAGATTTTTTGGCGAATATTATATTGCTGAGTGACTGTGCATAGAAGCAGGAAGAAAAGAGTGGGAAATGGACGGAGATTGAAATGAGTTTATTATATTGTTGGCAATATGGGGTAAACAAAGTTGCTTTTTTGATGGGTTTCTTTCGTTCATCAGAAGTTGTAAAATAACGAAATAGTTAAACAAAATATTGTCATAGAAAACATCTACATTTTAATTACATAGTCTTAATATAATCAAAGCCGGCGAACAGGGAAGAAATAACTACTATAGTATGTTGCTTTCTCTTTTTTTTCCTCTCCGTCTCTCCTTCTCTGCTTCTCTTCTCTTTCTCCCTCTCTCTTCTCTCTACCGTTTACTAAACAGTATTTCTCAGTACAAGTTAAAATGATTTCTTATGAAGTTTCTCAAAAACTCTTCCTGAAAACAAAAATTACAAAAATTTTACAACATTTTTTGCTGAGAAAATGAAGTTCCACATTTGCAAAACGCTTGATTTTTAATTATATATTTTTTAATACCTCACGTCGACAATACTTACGTTTCGGAGTTGCTCTATACATTACTGCATTTCTGAGAGCAAGTGCTTGAAATTATTTCTCACGAAGTTTCTCGAAAATGAAAAAGTTTTGCATAAAAACGAGCTGGGCATTTTCAGAAATGGTTAAAGGACACATTCTCAAGAACGGCTCCAAGTTTTTCAATACCTATTTCAACCAATCATGTTTTCTTCTTCTGTAATATCTTTAAGTCATATTTCATTTCTATTGTTAAGGAAACGAAAAATGAAAATGTGAACAAATGTTTTTAAGTGCCAATAGATAGTAGCTGGGATGAAGGTGAGGTAATTACGAAAAGGTACCCTTGACTAAAGAGATTAGAAAAGCAACTAGTGCGATAAAGTATGTAAAATTCCGTAACACCATTACTCAGTGATAAATTGTGTTTAGACTTAGAAATGGATTTCACTTCACACCATAATAAATTAAATATCACAGGTTGAAGACGACCTCCATTAGTATTTCTGATTATGAAACTCTGAAAACATTTTAACCGATACTAGGCTATATTAAGGCCTTTCACCTTCTTTTTTATGAACGATTTCGGGAGTTTGCGATCGTGCGCATGCGCACAGTGGCACAAGTCCCTCTGCGCATGGACGCGTTCACTACTCCAAATAATTCATCAAAAGGAAGCGGGTACATCGTGAAATAAGACGAAAAGAGCATTTTTACTTTACAACATTTAAAACATAGACTTGTAACTTATTGCTCTGAAAATAGCTAATTATCTGAAAAAATTATGAACTTACTTTCAGCACGTTTGCTTATTTTAGCATTTCAGCTGACATTAAACTTAAGTTCTTTGATTTTTCTTTTTATGTTACGTAAACAGTCGATTAATGCATTAAATGCATTATTTTTACTATTTTATCTTCTTTATAAATTATCAGACAATATTTTACTCCACATTTCGAACATTTTAGGTCCACGTGCATTTACATGTTTAGGTACACGTTATTACTTACGTAAAAATACTAGTCCTCTTAATTTACTTTTATCACTCTTCTCTCTCTTAATGTCTCGTGATGGCTATATAAACGTTTTTTCAAAGACTGAATTGTTACTATCGAGGTTGCAAAACAGGCAGTCTGCTCAGCTGATTCAAATGTGGAAATAATTTTGATTTTTGAGACATTTTAGGCAATATAATCGTACATCATTGGACAAGCAAAATATGATCTGTTAAGAAACTGGATATACCATTTTGAAGTCATTCCTTCG